GAGAGAGAGAGAGAGAGAGAGAGAGAGAGAGAGAGAGAGAGAGAGAGAGAGAGAGAAAGAAAGTACTTCCACAGACTTTCCATTCCTTTTCCAAAATATTTCGTATTCATTTTATTGGGTAATATAAGTATAATTAGAGTCACGCTGTGACTTGAATGATGTTTCAGTGAGAATGCATATTATACAATGTACTGATATGAAGTTTCACATGAAAATTAAAATGAATGCAATATGGCTAAATTACAAACGCTATTTAGGAGAAACACTTGTCCATAACATATATTTTTGTTCTTCTTGCGACACTTTCTTGGATAAATTAGCCAAAAAAGTTTGTGTTTCTTTTTTTTCCCCCTGCAGTGGAGCCCTTTAATCCTCAACCCCAGTTATACCATATTGCATTTTCTAGGAGCTACAAAGGTAGTCTTTATTAGCATGACATGTGGCTCTCACTTGTGGGGTACAACTTTGTGAATGACATCAAAGCAGCCAGCATGAGCTAGTGTACCACTTCCTTCTGTTTCTCCTTTCCAATTGTGAAACATTGGGCTGTTGCTTTGAAAGGGGGCCATTTCCTCAAGAGCCCATTAGGGGCTTGGAAACGGGACGCTCCTCTTAGACCAGCTGCCATTTTTGCTGTGGATGCTCCTGGGAGGGCATTGTTGTAGAAGTAGACAGCCACCATCATTGGGAGGAGCCAGTAACATGTGCATGACTGTGTGCTGAGCTGCTGTGGCTAACGTTTGTCTTCTTGCTCACGAGTGTGCTCCAGTGGTTGTGAAATTTCTTTTTGGCTCCATCTTTTATAGCGCAGCCCCTTGATGGACAAGTAGTCGCCCTATGTCGTATGCCTTAAATGTTTGGATTGTCTCCTTTATATCTGCAGAATAGACAACTGATAGGCCTGAGGGGCCTGTTTAATAAGAACCCCAAACACAGTTCTTCAGAAAACAATTCCCATTATGTCCGCAAGCGATCCATCGGTGATCGGATTCTGCGCCGCACGGCTAGTGCTCCAGCAAAGGGCCGAAAGAAGAGCAAAATGGGTTTCCAAGAACTGATGGAAACAAAGGACAGTGTGTCTGAGGTGACTGGCTCGAGAGAGAAAGATGGCGTTCTCCGCAGAACCACAAGAAGTTTACAAGCTCGCCCAGTTTCTATGCCGGTTGACAAAAGTCTTCTGGGGGGATTGTCCCTCCCCACGCTTGAATCAGCCAAAGAAACTGAAGGCAAAGAAAATGCACTTGGTGAGATTCTTGGAGAGTTTTCGTTGGTTTGGGGTTTTGGTTAGTCAGGAATACGCTTTAAAACTGTGGTTTTTTTCTTGTGCCCAAGTAATCGTTGAGTTCCCGATGTTGTGATAGAGTCATAGCGGTCCATGGTCAAAAGTAAAAGGCTTTCAAAAAGTTTATGCCCTCATTTAGAGATCCCCTGTGTTTTTGCGGAGATGAGCCAATTTCTGTCTGTGAGTTGGGGCTTTAGGGGCAGCAAAGAGAGGAACTTGAAAGGTCTAAGAAGAGCCCAAACAGCCTTGGGATATTTCAAATGCAGAAGAAAGAGCCATAGGGCTGGAAAGAGAGTTATAAATGGAGTCTCTTCTTCCAGGGCGCTTCTCAGCACGTTTGCAGAGAATGGAGCAACGCCAACCATTTCCACTTTACCAAGCACCAAGTTGAACTCCAAGCTCCAGCTGTCAGGGATCTCTGTTCTAGACAATCCTCACCTACTCCCCTTGTTGTCTCTAGAGCAACTGTAGCTTAAGGTCATTTTCTAGGTGTCCTTTTTCAGCCCTGCTATTGAAATGTGCAATTTGAAGCCTGATTCCTCAGAAACAGTTTTCCCTCAAGTGTTCAGTCCACTCTCAATCACCTACTTTGTCACAAATGTGCTTCTGTATTGATTTTGGATGTGAGTCATTTTAAGGAGAAATAGGAGTCCTTAAAAGCATTTTCTAGGGGAAAATATTTTAAATATAAGACATGCATTACTAAGACTGCAAAAAAAATAGTTTTGGTCTTTAAAAGACACATATAATTATAATATAATATGATATAATATATAATGCATGCTATGATGTAAGATATGTTATAGCATAATAAAATTGCATATAATTTAATCAGGAATTTTGGAGAGAAGGCCACAGAAAGATGAGCTCTGGATTAGTTTCCAACTTTGCAATATTGATGCTTTTTTTTAAGATCAGGAACTTTTTTTTTAATGAAAAATGCTCTTTTCATTATCTTCTTAAAATGACAATATGAATCCCAGGCTTCCTGAATTATCAAATGATGAAGCCTGTTGGAAGACTTTTCACTTTTAGGTTATTGCTAGGTGACATGTTTTGTTTTTTCTTCATTATGGGAGACAGTTTAGCTGCAGATGAAAACTTGCAGTGGTATTTTGCTTCTTAAATGTCATATTCCTGCTGTTTGTTATGAGAAAGCATTTTTATGAAGAAAGAAAAAAGAATCAACAGTCATAGCCTATTTATCATCCTTTTTTATCATGGTTCCAGAAATATTAAAAATGTTTTGGGACTTTTAGGAAAGATCTCAATCAATAAATAGCTATTGAGTTCCCTCTGTATGAATAGCTCTCTGCTTGATAAGTTCTAAGGATGCTTAAAATGATGGAAAGGCAATACATGGCTTTACATTTTCCTATATGTCTCTAACTTCTGGCCATTATTAAAAATGCAATTCCAAATATGGTTTGTGCATTTTAAATATTCAAGAAACAACAGAGGCTTTAGCAAATGAAGAAAAAGGCCATTGCCCACTCTGTGTTCATATGTGTGTATGTGTGTGTGTATGTGTTTTAATGCAGAAATGTAAAAATGCATTTATGGAATCTGCCCATACAGATTTTTAAAAGGGTCAGTTAAGTTAGATCTTTACAGGAAAAGGTGCCTTTTTCAACCAAATGATAATATGTGTTGCTTTTAGTTAATCAATGTATATCTTTGAGATCTTATAAAAGCATTTTGTGTCTGCGGATGTAATGATGTGTTGTTTAACAGAGCTGTCTTGTTCTGTTTTTATTACCATGCTTCTGTGTAGTACAAATCTGAATAGGAGGCAGCCGCAGGTAATCCTAAGTGTGCAAGTACGGTACCTCATTGACATTGACTTACAACCAGCATTATTACATCATGTGTTGATGTAATAGACGTGAAATGCAAAGTTGCGATGGCGTGCCTGCCAATCTATCTTTACCATTTATTCATTACATAGATATTCGCGCAGTCCCATGAGTAAATTGTCACAGTTTTAACTAATTCTACATTCTTCATTTGTCTGTCTAAAGACAAAAAAAAATGATTGATGTTTCCAGGTGTGATGAGAGAGGTCCTGGGTGACTAACTTATTGTTTGTTTCATTTAGCAGAAAATAAGGCCAATACAGAAAGTGGAAAATCCAATGCAAAAGAGCAAAGCTCGACAAATCTTGATAAAAAGCTGTCTTCACCCTCTGCAACTCTCCACAAAAATGGCAGCCAGGTGGATCCCGTTGTCTCTCTTGTTAATAATGCACCACCCTTAGAAGAAGAGTCAGGAGCCCTAAACTATCACAGTGGGAAAGCCCAATCACATGTGCCCATTGACCTTCAAAAAAATCTGTCTCCCAAACAACTTGTTTCACCAAGACAACAAATGGGTATTAAAACTGCCAGGGACCTATGCTGTACTATAAACGATAAAGGAACAAGGGAAAATGGAAAGGCTTTTCCTTCAGAAACAAATAGAACATTGTTAGGAAATGCCTCTTCTCAGAGTGAGCTGGAGATTCTTAATGTCAAGGAAGTCAATCGAGTGGCAAGCAATGTTGTGACATCCTTTTCTTTGATAGATGTTTCTGCCATTTGCTCTGATGGGCATGACTTACATTCCACTGCAATTATGCAGGACAGTGAAATTTCACAACTTATTGACAATGTCACATTAACAAATGAGAGTGAACTTGGCAGTTCAATCTCAGCACTGATTAGCCAGTTTGATGCTACCAAGGATCAAACAAACCTCAGAGCTGTTTCTAGATTTCAAGGTACCAGTGGTCAGACTTACAGCGTAATGTCAGGACATCCCTCCTTGCTCACTACTGACCTAAAAATACCCCTCAAAAATAACTTTTCTAAGTCAAAGCCTCTGTGGTCATCTCAGCATTCATCACCCGAGACAACTGTCTGCTCTAGCCCTGAGACAACAGAGTATTCCACATACACCATCATTCATGAGGCAGCTCTCACTCCAGTCACTGGGTCCAAGTTCGTCGATGAACCTAACGTCAAGACCAAGTTCCATGCCTCAGAAGGTGGCATTGCTCATCCATCTCCGTTAACTAAAAGTCCCCAGAAGAATTGTGGAAGGGGTTGGGAAAACGGTGCCATTTGTGGTATTTCCACTTCTAATGATTTGACAATAGATGGTATAATTGATCATACCCTTTGTCAAAATTCTGGAGAGAGCAGTCTAGTAGAAATTGATGAAGATTCACATGATCTCTTGGTAACAACCCATGAGTATAAGAGAGAGGATATGAGTCAACTTGCTTCCCCTTTGAAACTAAAGCATTGTCAGGAAATGGATTCACCCTGTCCAAGAAACTCTGGAAATGGCTTCCTACATCCATCTACGCTCAAACTTTCCAGCCACGTTCAAATGCTAAAAAACCGAAGTATTTCTTGTCCGGCTTATCAGAGTGCTGACTTTGTGTGTAATAATTATTTCCAGTGTTCAAATCCCGCAAACAACGCAGCTTGTCTACCCCCGGGGTCTGATCCTCAGGGTCTGCAGCAATCAGCATGTCCTTCTTTACAAGCTCGGAAACAGCCTAGCCCTTGCAAATCCAAAAGCCTGGGAGATTTGACATCAGATGATATCTCTTGCAATTTTGAAAGCAAATACCAGTGCATAAGTAAAAGCTTCATTACAGCCGGACTGCGAGACAAGAAGGGTGTGACCTTAAAAGCAAAAGGGATGGAGTCTGTGGATGCTCTGACAGAACAACTCCGAAAACTTGTGTCCTTTGACCAGGAGGACAGCTGTCAAGTGCTGTGCCCAAGGCCAGATGAGAGGGAATACCCCAAGGCGCTGGTCCGAAAGCTGTCATCCCGAAGCCAGAGTCGTGTTCGAAACATTGCCAGCCGTGCCAAGGAAAGACAAGAAGCCGGCAAGCAGAGGTCTTTGGCCTCCAGCAGTGTTGGAGGAGTGGTCCTGAGAAACAAGTCCACTGTATCTGCCCAGGTGGTGAACAGGCATTCCACTGGATCTTACATTGCAGGGTATCTGAAAAACCTCGAAGGCCGTGGTATTCCCGAAGGGGCATGCGCTTCTCTTTTCAATGGATATGTAGACCAGTTTTGCACAGATGATTCAATCCTCCAGACTGAGCCAAGTGTAGAGGACAAACCAGAAATTTATTTCCTCTTGAGACTATAAATGGTGTAGACCTGTCTTTTTAGTGTGTACAAGGAAGGTATCCCTTAGAGCTCCAGATATTGCTTGTTTTTGTTGTGCTATCTTTGGCTCTGGAATGATTGAGAAGGGGATTTTTTGAGTTCCAGTACTGGTCTCCTTTGATTGAAGATGGTCCTCTCGTGGACGATTATGTAAATAGATGCTGTGTTATTTTCCCAAGGTTTCCTGAGTCTTTTTTTCAATGTTGTAAAAATGTATCAGTCTTGGAATAGATGCATGCCTGCCATCGATATGAAGGTTCCACATGGGCCAGATTCATAACCCGTGTGCTTTTGTAACTAAATGCTTCTCTCCCTCTGTGCACGCCTTCAGAACCCAGCAACCAACATAATTCCTTGTCTGCTTCCTCGACCCCCAACTGTGGAGATGTTAAGGCAAAAGTCTGAAAAAAAATCTACTGTCTTTCTTTAAATTTTTTTTTCAGCTCTCCGAATTTTATTTTATTTTTCGTGTTTGTTGAGGAGGACAGATACCTCTTTCGATTTCTATGAATATTGTAATTTAGCACCTGAGGTGAAGGAGCAAAGCCAACCACTTTACCCTGGTTAGATTTTCATTTACCCCGATTCTGGGTGGGAAAGTCCCCACAAACTAGTAACTGGCTTTTGTGTTTTCTTTTGTTTTTCTTTTTCCATCTGTTTTGGAGTAGGAATGAGGAGGGGGGAAGGGAAAGAGAATGAAGATATTCTGTACATAAGGATAGGAAAATATTTGTTTCACATAAATTTTGTTACATATTTTTGCTACAGGCTTTGTATGTGACGAACTCAATCACAAAGATATTTGCTGTACTTTGTAATTTTCAGACTAATTGTTCGATTGGAAGTACCAACTTTACAGGGAAGAGGGGGGCTTGAATTATACTATAATAATAATAATAATAATAATAATAATAATAATAAAAGATAGCATAACAATTCCCAACATCTCAAAAAATATTTTCTCAATAATATTGAAGGCCAAGTGAACTGGTCATTAAAAATGGCTTCCCATTATGGATCCATAACTTGGCTATATTTTTAATACCAATATGCTTTGCTTTCACTGTGAACACATTTCTGATTGTATGTTCAAGATACCTCTTTTTTTTTTTTGGTAACATGAAATACAGTGATATTCATGGAATTCATGAAAACATAATTAAAAGAGATTTTTAAGCACTTGTATGAATTTGTTGAAATGGAAACAAATATAATTCTTGTTGAACTGGACAACTGTTGATATTTTCCTCTTCATCTATTTTTTAATAGTCATCATCGTGTGAAAATCCTCTTACTTTGGGAGATAATTTTTTTTTTGAGGCAATTGGGATTAAGTGACTTGCCCAGAATCACACAGCTGGTAAATGCTATGTGTCTGAGTTCAAATTTGAACTCAGGTCCTCCTGACGCCAAGGTTGGTGCTCTTTCCACTGCGCCACCTAGCTGCCCCTGGGAGATAGTTTTAATGTAATTCTGAGCACTTTATTTTTGGGAGGGTGTGGAGAAGTTGGAGAATATCCAGAAGAGAATAACCAAAATGGTGAAGGGCCTTGAAGATTTGTTGAATGAACTGGGGATCTTTTGAGTGAGAAGAGAAGGCTCAGAGGGATAGGATAGTTTTCTTAAAGTTGGTCTCACATGAAAAAAGGATTCGATTTATTCTTCCTGGCCCCAGAGGACACAACTAAGAAGAATGGGGGAAGGTATAACAAAGAAAATTTAGGCTTGATATAAGGGAAAACTTCCGAACAACTAGAGTGATTGAAAAGTGTAATGGGCTGCCTAGAGAGTTAGCGAGTTTCCCCTCAGAGGAGGTCTTCAAAGAAAGGCAAATGAACATTCTTTGGGGATGGTATAAAGGGGATTATTTTTCAGGTATGGATTATATATGAGGTTCCTTCTTACTCTGACATTCTGTGATTCTTTGAATTGGGATACCATGACCAATGTTGCCAGTTGGTCACTGGACAATTATATGAGGAAGTGTGTTATAGCGGATAGAGTGTCAGACTTAGAGATTTGAATCCCACCTCAAACACTTACCAGCTGTGTGAACGTGGGCAAGTCATTGAACCTTTCTGGGCCTCAGTTTCTTTATCTGTAAAATGACCTCTGAGAACTTTCTCCATCTTAAAATCTAAGAACTGGTGATCTCACATTTGGAATACTAACCATTAAGTTAATGCTTTTATAAAGGGTCTCAAAAGGAATTCTTTGCACCATCTGCCTCCTCTTCTATCACTCTGGCATAGCCATTGCAGACATATCTAATGAATGCAGTGTCCATGGGGCCATTTTGAAATTTCCTTTGTTTTGCAAGTTTCCAAGGCCAAAGAACCCAACACTTAGTGACCAGCTTCTCTAGCCATGAGCTTTTCTGTATTTAGTTACATTAGTCCATGATAAAATCAGTTAAAAACATTGACATTTGAAAATGACCACTATATTGGCAATAAGCCATAGTAAAAAGAACACCATCTCGGAGTCTGGTTACCCAAGGTTCTCGTCCTGGCTCTGCCAATATTTGTGTGACCTTGGACAAGTCTCTTCACTTCCTTGGGGCTCAGTTGTCTTATTTAAAATGAAAGAGTTGGACTTTTCCTGAGTTCTTAATGTTTTTGGTGTCATGGACCCCTTTGGCAGTTTGGTGAGCTCTATGAACCCCTCATAAATACATGAAATAAAATATATAGAAATACAAAGGAAGCTGGTTATATTGACAATCATCAAGGTATATTAAAACAAAAACGACTTTGTGGATCTTGAGTTAAGAATTCCTGGACTAGGGGATGTCTTAGGTGCCTCTCACTCACTCACTCACTCACTCACACACACACACACACACACACACACACACATATATACATAAATATATATGTTGGTGTATTTCTAAAAGTAGTGATAGGGACTGGACCTGTGGTGCCATTGGTGGGAACGCCTTCAGGAAGAACCTCTCTTTGCAGTTGAGTCTTAGAAAGAGTTACCTGGAGAACTGAGAGGGAAGGTGACTTCCCAGGGTGGCACAGCCAAGATGTATCAGAAGTGGGGCGTTCATTTCTGGTAATAAGTATTTTTATTTCGTCTCAGTAAAACCCTCTCCTGAAGCCTCTTTCTGATGTGGAGGTGATACGCTGGTTTCCGGAAGGCAGTTTCATGTGATGTCTAAGCTCTGGCCAATTTTTCTGATGAGAAATATTGCTTGTAAACCCACCATGCCCTAGCCCTGGGAAAATTGTGTTCCCTGATACCAAATAATCTTTTGATAACAAACCTAACTGACTGGATCAGAGTAGGGCAAATAGACATTTCAAGACATTTCTTTGAATGTTTTTCCCTTGGAGAATTTTTCAGAGCCATCAAAATACTAATAGAGATAAAGCAGGACAGAGACTCTCCCCCTTCACACTCTTGCAACATTGCCTGTTTTTTAAAACACGTAAATTATAGCAAAAGGGGAAATAATGAATAGTTTGTTCCTCTCCACTGAGGAAGAGTAAAGATCATTGGGCATTTTTCTAATTTCTTTTTGATAGATACCACATCTTTCTCGCACAATGTAGGTAACAGATTTAGAGCTTAGAAGAGACTTTAGAGGTCGTCTAATTCAATGCCTTTATTTGACAGATGAGGAAACTGAGACCCAGGAAGGTGAATGACTTATTCAAAGTCATGCAGGTGTTACATGACAGGACAATTCCCTTTCTTTTCTCAAAAAGTAGTGAAAACTCACTCAATGAGGCCTCATGGCATTTTCTCACTAGCAAAGGAAGATGTGTGATGCAGGGATTAGAGCACCAGATTTCAAGTCAGAAGACCCTGGGCTAGTCCCTTCTCTCTGAGCTTCAGCCTCCTCATTTGTAAAATGAGGGCATTTTGACTAGATGGGCTTCTGATGTCTTTTCTGACTCTAAAGTTCTATCTCAACCTACTATGAAGCATTGCCTCATTTCCCCTTACACGTTAGTAGTGACATAACCAACTGTTGCCAGGCTATTGAATCTCTTAGCCTAATTTTTCTCATCTGTTCAATGGGGATAAACATATACTATTCATGCTCCCACAAGGTTGGTTTGAGTCACGTGGTATAGAAATGTGAGCTGCTTTTTTGGAATGGTACAGAATTTAGCGTCATCTTAAGTACAGCTCTATGTTGTTGCTGTTCGGTCGTTTCAGTCATATCTGACTCTCGGTGACCCTGTTTAGGATTTTCTTGGCAAAAATACGGGAGTGGTTTGCCATTCCTTTCTCCAGCTCATTTTACAGATGAGAAAACTGAGGCAAACGGGGTTAAGTGACTTGGCCAGGGTCACACAGTTAGTAAGTGTCTGAGATCAGATTTGAATTCAGGAACAGGAGTCTTTTTGACTCCGGGCCTGGTGTTCTATTTACTGAGTTACCTGGCTGCCCTAGTTACAACTCTAGGGCTCACAACGTTTATTGGTCTGTAGGTCTCGAGCTGAAAGCGACCTCATTGGGCATCCAGTCCAAACCTTTTATTTTGAAGATGAAGAAATGCAAGCTGAAGAGAAGTGAAGTAGCTTGCCCAAGGTCAGCGCCTGGGGTGGCTCTGGACCTCCCTGCTCTTTCCTTTCTTCCACACAGTCTCCCCATGAAAACTTCATGATGGACCAATATTTTATTAATAAAAAAGTAATTAAAAATGTTCTTTGCTGTTGTGGAGGTAGCACTGATTTCAGAATAGAGGCTGGTTAGAAATGTGATGGTGGGCAAAACTGGGGTTCTTCCCTTAAAAGCTCTAGAAATCTTAGATGCCAATGGGTCTGTTGTCTGATGGGGTCCTCCCTGCAGGGAGGCAGTTAACCCAGGCCTGGTCATCCTCTGGGAGGCCTATTTTAGTGCTTTACTGGAGGGTGGAGGTGACTCTGGGCTCTTGAAGGGTACATCAACAGAATACCATACTAGAACGCCTTCTCATGCGGTCTAGGTCACAGACCCTAGGACCATAGATTCAGGGCTGGGAGGGGCCATTTGATAAGCAGCCCAGTCAAGTAGAGAGTTTCATTAGGTAGAAGGGAACAGGTTTTTATTAAGCACCTACTATGTGCCAGTCCCTGTGCTAAGCACCTTGC